AACCACAAACACAACGACAAACACACAACCACATACACACAACCACAAACACACAACCACAAACACAACCACAAACACACAACCACAAACACACAACCACAAACACGCAACCACAAACACAACCACAAACACACAACCACAATCACAATCACACACACAATCACAAACACAACCACAACCACAAACACAACCACAAACACACAACCACAAACACACAACCACAAACACACAACCACAAACACACAACCACAACACACAACCACAAACACACAACCACAAACACACAACCACAAACACACAACCACAAACACACAACCACAAAGACACAATCACAAACACACAATCACAAACACAGAACCACAAACACACAAACACACACACACAACCACAACCACAACCACAACACACAACCACACACACAACCACAACACAGCACACAACCACAACACACAACCACAGCACACAACCCGAGGACCCACAAGCAAGATCGAGAACTACAATACTCACGACCATGGCAACATGCTCCTCACTATGGCATCAAAACAAATGATTGAAATGCCATGGTGGGGATCACTCGAAGTAAAGTAATTCATTAAGATGTGACTTCTTTGCGTAGGGAACTCAGACATTTGGTCCCCCATTCCCAGTCGTCACATGAGAAAAAGATAAAACAAGGACATCTTCGCCTAACAAACTCCAGTCATATCTCAGAAAGGTATGACCCTCTAGTCACCCACTCCAGGTCCCACCTTCTCAGGGACTCCAAAAAGGCCCTATGGGGTGGGTCAAGCGCTGCCAGGTGACGAAAGGCGTCCTCCTGCTTCAACCGCTGTTCCTGGGATCGCCCGTTGGATCGACCGCCGGAAGCTCGGCGCTTCAGCGGGGCAACGATGGACGACGTGAATGCAGCACAAAACGAGGTCCATGTTCCAATGGCAGTTCAATGGGATCCGTCAAATGTCCAATCAAATTGTACATATTCCAATGTCCAATGTCGAATTTCTATCTGCAAACATTGCATGTGTGAATGGGGATCAACAAACCCTCTTCAGAGGCTTGGTCGATCTCACAGGTGTCACACCTTCGTTCTCATTTGATATTCCAAGCTGTCACTCCTTCACATCATCCACCCAGTTTCTCCCCTCAAATGGTTTCTCCTCCAAAGTCGATTCCTCAAAAAAGAGACCACACTCTCTGCCAGTTCCAACCAGGGCCCCCCAATTTGGGGGTGTTGAATCATAGCCCTTTAGAGGTTGAGGGTTGTAAATTCACTGAAATTTCACCGCCCCAAACCGGCTGGAAGATGTTCCAATCCCAAGTCTCTTCTTGCGCTGCTTCCTGCTCAGGACTCAGGTGGATACTGCCGTCCGTTGAAAGCTGCACGCTGCTCGCCGATGCGCGGCTGGCGACCTTTTTCGGCCGCCGGCTTCCTGTCCGAGGGTGGAACTGCACGAGCAGGGTCTTGAGATGTCTTTAAGACTCACCAATGTTCTGCCGCTTGGCTGCTGATGCGATGAGAGCTATCTGTTGTTGGTGACTTACTTTCTGGATGTTCACAATCCATTAAGTGTTTTCTCTTTTGGAAATGCAGAAGCAACTTGAAAGAACATCGCAACTTGAAAGAACAGACGCATGTTGTTCGGGTTCTTTGGGAGGTCATTCGAGCGACTCTTTTGCGTTTTGAGATACACCTCTTTGAGTCTTTGAGTGTCTCTCTTTGCTGTTTAAGTTTATTTTACTGGATATTATTCAGGCGGAATCCCACTCTAATACAAGTTGTGATGGCACTACACAGAAGACCAAAGCAGCTTCTTAGTTCTTGTCAACTGCTCCCATGCAGTGCCCAGGCACCTGCGCCCCGCCGCTGCGCCCCGCCCTCCAAGCGCCCCGCCGCTGCGCCCTCCATGCGCCCCTGCGAGCCGTCGCCTCCACGAGTGATGGACTGCTGCGATGCATCCTTCCGCAAGCCACGGATGCTGTTCTTCCGTCCGGGCTTGCCCGAGTGCTCCCGTCGAGGCGTGCCATCCTGGGGGCGCCAGGCAGTGTCGCTGGGGTCGTGGGACCATGCAAAACGAGAAAGACAAGAAAAGATGGTCTGGGCAGTTGCAAACATTCCGAAGTACTTGGTTCATCTTGGTTCAGGGATCATGTCCGTGCAGCCATGTTCAGATGGAAAAGACAGCTGTCGGGCTGGATGGGTAACATTCACACCGGACCTTCAAAGTGACCGAACTTGAGATCCCAGCATGAGGTCACAACTAGTTCCTGAATTTCCCCTGAATGAAGAGGTCAGTTTTTAGACTCATAATTATAATATAAAGAGGTCACTTTGAAGGTCCTGGCATAGATCGGACTGGCTTCCAACCTGCCAACTTCTGCCTCCGGTTGGCTTAAAAGAGCACCTCTCCCGAACTTGGCTGCTGCAGGATCCACACTCTGGATGCCCCTGCAATGCGAGGGGTTGATGTTTGAAGGCACCTCTCCTTCCGGTGCTCCTTGTGCGTCTTCTTCAATTCGGCCGACCTGCGAGGTCAACAAACGAAAGAGAGGTGCTCAGACCTGGGTAGTACGATATAGGGTACAAGAAATCGACCGCACTTCTGCGTGCAAGTTGGAACTAATACAGAAAATCAAACCCTAAAGAGTTCCTCAAGGACCTTCTGAGAAGGTGGGACTGAGGTGGGTGCCAGGAGGGTCCAAATACCTTCTGAGCAGGGACTTGGAACCCTATAGGCTATACGGGAAAAAACACATGAAAAGAACTCCTCCTCCAACAGCACCCCTGATGAATTGCAGTTTCACCTCGAAAAAGTGAATGATTCAGGACGACAAGAAGGGACCTCGGGCTCCTTCTTGGTCCCTAAAAGGGTCGAAACACCTGACACGAATAGTATACGTATTCGATGTTTATATGGAGGAGTTACTTTGGTAGAATATCTGCCTGTCTGTTCATCTATAAAACGAGACACAAGGCAGAAATTCGTTGGAACTTCCAGGTACAGAAAAGAGAGCTCTATAGATTGGTTGAATAACAATGCGGGTATCCTCTCTATATCAATCAAGCATGCAATCTATTAATCAGGCCATCTATTATCACCACCTGTTGTACACCTCACCAGCACCGCAGCTTGCAGAAGTTCTGAGCCATGACAAGGCCAGCCCAAAAAGAAACGACTCAGACCTGCAAGCATCTTCTGTTTCCATCCGGCTTGCCTGCTCTTACTTATATATCTGTTTACATCCGTTTACAGATGTTTTCGGGAGTTCCTAACTTTTGTCTTTCTCCAACGTCCATGTCACCACCAGTCCGTTTTCAGTTTCCACGTCTCATTTTTTGTCCGTCTCAAATGCTAATTAATGCCAATTATGCCCACCAAAGCCCAAAGCAACACAAAAAACACCATCTTGGCGCCCAAGAATGCCCCGCTTCGGCCCATCTGGCTTCCCGAAAAAGGAATGCACCGAGCCACTTGTCCAGTGCACGCTCGGTGATGCTGCCCTTCTCTTTTGCCGTGCGAAGCAAATGCGTTGCCAAAGCACCCTCCTGTGTGTGGCATCGGGAAACTGTGTTGTGCGAAAAGGAGTGCGTGGTATATCGTGGTATAGGCTCCTCCACACAAAGGGCGACATAGTGACATATGTACATAGCATACATAGCCTTTCATCCCAGAAACCGGTGTCACATCTGATGCCCATGTCGGTTGAATGACTTGCACATAGGACCACAGCCAATTGGAATCATCAGCAAAGAGCTGAAGCATGATGCAATCTCATGCCACGGGTGCGGCTGGCTGGTGGATCTGGTGGATCGAGGGATTCGAGGGTTCCTAGGAGAAAGTCTGAAATCTTGCGAAATGGCATCTGAATTGGTCATATGGCCGTGTATAGGGAGACTGCCAACCAATTAGTCGACTGGTCTATTCCTTCTTCCAGGGAATCTTTGGGGGGGCCATATATGACCCAGCTGAGAAGAGCTCTAAACATATATCGAACCATGCCTAGTAGAAGACACATCACGACGAGCATGTTCAGATCTGTTGGTTTTCATCGCCTACCCATCCGAACTCTTCGATCTACGCCATCAAATTTCCCCCCGTTCTCGGAAAACCCTCCCGTTCTATGCCTCAACGGCCGCAAAGAAGCGATTCCACTTCTTCAATGACACTGAGCCACCAGTGGGCTCCTGCTTTTGAGCCAGTGGGCGAAGCGTTTTTTGTAACGTCGAGTACGTCGACGTGTAGTTTGGTATGCACCCCCCACAAACATGGGTCTTGGACTCACTCTCAGCAAAACGCTGGAAGGTACGGTATAAGCTTTTTCCACCTGTGCTTGTTCAGTGGGGTTTCCCTAATTCCCCCCAAAAGGCTTTGCAGGTGATCCATTGACTGGGTAGATGAAGAACATCATTCTTCACTGTCGCTTCCTGGTCCATCATATGGAAGATCTGGGCCTGGCACAGCTGGCAGAGTGGCTGTGGTCATGCACGGAAGGGATCTGTGGGCAAGAGGATGACCTAAACAGGGCTGAACCACTCAAGGACCGGAGTTCTTTGGAACAAATCGCAAAGGTGATGCGCGGTGCCTTGGTGTCTATCTTTCATGGGGGTGACTTGATCTGAATTGGTGAGAGCAAAACAGCAATTAGCACTCGATCCACTTGCACTTCTTGACACAACCCGCCACATTCGATGCCACACGACACGCACACAGCCCGGACGGGGGTCGCTACGGGGTCGACCTCGCGGCTGTTTCGGCCTCATTGAAGCCGGTGAGGCGCTCCACGTCGGTGCGCAGCAGCTTGAGGCCGTTGTCCCAGGCCACTTGGCCGAACCTGAAGCGCGCGCGGAGTCTTGCTGAGACCCCGTGGAGGAAGGTGAGGTGGTCATCATTAGCCTGAAAGACTACATCTACTGAAGGGGGTTCAAGTGGGAAGACTTTCTGTGGAGGAAGACGGAATTGTGTGGGAAACCTGGCTCCCCAAAACGATTCCATGGCGGAATATGATGGATACTCAGGGCCGTTTTCCACTTCCATGTTAGCGGGTAAATACATGTTAACATCGACCCCAAGCAACATTACCCACCTCCTTCCACCAGGCACCCCCTGCCCACCTGTCCGCGCACCTCGCTCTTCTGCGCTCGCTCTTGTGCCATGGAACCGGCCCTGCTTGTTGGTATCGAACCACTTGAAGGCAAGCTTCAAGGAGCCGAACTTCGCGATGAAGATGTAACCAAGGGCCTTGCGATGTTTCTCACAAGGTCCCCAAGAAGAACAGTCACAAGAGATCACAAGAGTGAAGACACCCTGAGGACACACCAGAAGAGCACACCAAGGCGATGGAGAGCACACCAAGGCGAAGGTGTTCTTTGCTTGCAAAGCGGATGATCATCTTGCAGAATCAACTGCAGAAATTAAACGAAGCAGTGGTCTCATCACCAGGACTGTAGAAGCTCCGGATTAGAACACATGCAGGAGGGGTCCATGAAACATGTGATACCTCATACTACTCACTCTTCCCAAAGACTGCTTGAAGCGACAACCCCGACATCCACCCCCCCCCACATACGGAAATCAGAAAGAAAACTGAGCCCTTTTTGACCTCGCTTAGGTCGTGTCCATCTGGATGGTGTGCACCAACGGGCCGACCTTCACAGCTCCATTCAGCTTGCAAAACTGGCTCCCCCGACGGACGAACACGAACGTGCCGTTTTGTCCCGCCGCTCGGAGCCATCAGAAACGCGCCGAAAGGAGCCGTAGATTTTCTTTGGGTGTCACATGGTGATACACGGTGTCAATCTGATCGTCATGCATCAATCTGAAGCTCGTCAGCCTCCAGATTCCGCTCTGACTGTCCATGTTGATCCGGTCCACCGATGTCCATGGCGTTCTCGTCCTCAGATTCTCTCATTCCCTCATCATCCATCTCCAGCCAAGTCTGCTCCAGCTCTGCACATTGCTCTGCACACTGCACTTCGTTCACAAATTGAGGGCTCTCGATCACATCCTCCAGCTTCACTGGAAAGTCTTCCGCATGACATCGGATCAACTCGACAGTGTCTCCATCCACATCTAGAGCAGTGCAAAAGTACCTTAGATTGGCATGACCATACCCAAACCATACATACATACATATATATATATGCAATAGTCATACATACAGATATATATATATATTTATACATATATACATTATGATACTATTCACTCCATGTATGACCCTAATGTAACTATTCCACTTCGATTGGCATGACCAATCCGCCCGACACGGAAATCGGTCGGCGTGTTTTTCAGTGGAGATTGGACCCCTCCCTTCATCTCCAACGAAGCTCCTGGTAAGGTTGGTTCATAAGCTGGGTGCAGTGGGTCAATGACATCTGATTTGGTCTTGCACTCGCGAGGGCGGGGTTGCTTCAAATGGGGGCTGCTTCAAATCATGCACCTCACAAAATCATTCTTGAACATCCGTGAGTTTTCACACATGAATAGGGAGTTCGGAAATGATGTGAAAATCCAAGGATTTCAAGAATGAGACTGGGGATTCATCAGCTGAAAAGCAACATCAAAAATAAGACATGTCAGTCTTCATGGAGCCAGGAAGCATGGGTAGTGCAGGCAATCGACAACCCCCGTGAAATTGGCCGTTCAAGGAAAAGAGTGCTGCATGTCGGTCTGCATCCAAAAGCAATCCGATCACATCCCCACTCTGCACATGTGGCAATGGACGGCGATGTTTCCTCTCATAAAAGGCATCCAAATGGCCGCTGGAAGCGGCTCGGCGACCTGAGTAGTAGAAACAACCAGGTACATCTCCACCCTGAGAACCTGCTCTGTCTTTGAACATTGTCACACCACACCACTGCTCATCTTGCAGTCTGCGCATGTGAAACTCTACAAAGTGAACACCTTGACGGACCGGGAACTGGCTCAACACATTCACATAGTCCATAGTCCAACAGTTATCTGTATGCACCATGGTGACCACAGCGCCTCTGGCCGAAAGGTGCTCCTTGTCGGGATTTCCTTCAATGTCCCAAGTGTACAGGGGCGTGTCATCCACTATCAGGAGCAACTCCACGACCTGTGAACTCTCATCAAGCGCTTCAAGGTTCTTGAGGGGCTTCCCGTTGCACACGAGCTTGATCAGCTCTGGGGTCATGCCACATGCCTTGCTCGCCTCGTCCATCAGCTCTTCGAAGGAGCTTGGAACTGGAATCTCCTTGGAGGCAAAGATGGGCGAACACTTCCATGAAGACCTGATGCATTTTAACTCCGGGAGTTTCAATGGGGGCACATCTAAGCTCTCTCACCTTTGAATCCTCTTCGAGTTCAGTCAACCCTGCGCCCTTGCTCCACACTTCAGGCCTTCCCCCACAAAACGCCATTTGTTTCATGGTTCTTCTCTGTCTCGTTCTTTCTCCGATCCCCAAAAAGCACGCAAAAGGCTCCGCGCCCAAAACCTCCGGGCCCAGGCGCCAGCAAGAGACTCCCAGCCAAGTTCCGAAGCCTCCAAGACGATCTCTCCATGTGGCCGGTCGAGCGATGGGAGAAATCAAGGTTTGCAGGGAGGATCGTGCTGGAACCATCGATGTAGTATTATTAATTTAATCCAGTCTGGAGTTTTTTTTGGGAGGACAAACTTGGGCTTGCACTGTGTGTCTGTGTGTGAAGAGTTTGTGGAGTCAACAATATTGAGTAATTAATGACATTTGCACATGACATCACATGACAGGCTGAATTCTGTCTGTCAACAAATACGTCATGCCAACTTTATGATTGTCACTACCCTCTGGCAGTCCAAAACCGGCAAAGACATTGACAAGTTCACTTGGTTTTGTCGTAATCTTAAGTCCCCCCCAACTAAGACGACGGAGGTTGGACACCTATAAAGCTTAGGCTGTGTAGGCTTGAACCCGCATGGCTCAAGAGCCTTCCTTTGTCCAAAAAGGGCAGGAGTTCCATTGAAATCAACTGGGCTGGAGCAAGTTCCCTGTACCAGTTCCGCCAGGTGGGGGTGCTCTGCGTCGTTGAAGTGCGGGTCGAAAGTTCAGTCTAATCCGGCACAAGTGGACGCCCCAAAATTTTTGCTGAAGGGCCAATGGTTTTCCAACCTATAGACATCTATAGAACTATCTATCGACTATTCCATATAGGTACCCCAGCAGGGTCCTACAATAAGGTCACTTAACCTCTTGGTTGGTCTTCAGGAGTCTCACCGATGATTCTTGAAATCTGGGATCAAGACCTCTCCAGCTGACTCTGGCTTGGCTTGGGCGGTGATGGGCAGTGGGGCCTGCAGCAGGAGGACTCTGCTTGACCAATGAACATGGGCAGAATAGAATCGAATTATCAGCGAGGTCAACTCCAGATCAACCAATCAAGGTTTTGACCCGTTCATTTCTCCTCCCAAACGAACAACACCTCTGTTCCCGGCACATCCGTATCCGCTCCGCTCGTCTGCTCCCCGGATCGACCAAACGAGCAAACGGATCGAGCAAACGTGTTTACTCGCGTCGGATGGCCTGGATGCCCTCGAGCTCCAAGTGCTTCAGGTCTTGGTGCAACTCCTCATGAAGCCTCGGCGAATTCGTGGGACCCCGAACGCTGAGAAAACTCGCGATCGACCGAGACTTGACAGAGATGCCCGATGAAGTCAGCCTTAAAATGTGCGGGAGTTTGGGAGGGGAAGACTGTGTTTCAGAGGGGTTTCGGGAGTGGTGCATTCAGGGTTCCAAGATGTTCCAAGATGCGCCCCCCCTGCAGTTTTATGGAAGTTGATAGACCAGCCATCAAATATCATAAAATACCATCACTATAGTCATCTATTATAATAGGTAGTAATAGGTAAAAAATAATAAATAGCCTCTTAGAGGTTACGGGATGTCCAAAAAGCACCTGTTGGAAGGTCCCGGTAATAGACATCAAACACTTCATACAACTTCTGCAGACTGCCGTCAGATGTCCAACACGGTGGCTTCATGTGGCTTCCAAGAAATCCAAAGAAATCCATTCCCAATCCATCGGACAGGCCATGACAGGCCTAGTGACCGTCAAATAGACCCTCATAACATCTCAAGACCACCCGAATCCAGTCGCCTGGAGTGTCTGGGGATGATTTCCGAAATGACGAAACTCCTCCAGACCCTCAGTCACCCACCTTCAGCTAACAGGGAAAAAAAACACACAAACGGTGGTTTTCCCACCGCAACCGCCACATCAAAGCGCGCACCAGCCCGCGACGCGCGGTTCACAAACTCTCAGCGGATTTTTCCCGCGGAAAAACGTCCGTTCGATCCGAGAAGCGCGATGGCGTGGAAGTCGTGATCGCCCAACTCCACCTGAGCACGGCCGTGGTGACCGAGTCGAGAGCGTGGTGACGACGAAGCAAGCGTAGCTACGTGGTAGCAGGTCGAGACGAGACGAAGGTTTTTTATAGGCACCTGGAAAGATCTTTATTTGGACTAACAAAAAAAAGACAGGTTACCACATGTTACCACCATGCCACCATGTAGACATAGTTATACACATGTATATATATATAATATTTCAATACCTAGAAGATCCTTTCGGCAGAAATTCTTGCCTTTTTCGGGAAGAGCGGCTCTCCCCGTCCTGGGGCGGAAATCAACTTTTTGCCGCGGAAATGTTTTTGTTGCCGCAAATTTCCCTTTCAGGAATCTAGTGAGAGACTACATATATTCTATATAGAGCAGTTGCATCTTTTTGGTGGTTTGCATGTGCATTGGGCATTTCTGCCTGGAATGGTCACCTCATGGATAAAAAAAAGATGGCGGCGCTTAAGTTTCCACCTCCACCTGCAAATCTGGCTACCATGCTTTTGTTTTTGAAGTTTTCTTTTGCGGAATGAGCACACGAGCAGTAAAACCAGTCCAAAGTTGAAAACACCTGGCGCGAAAATGCCCGGGAAAAAGGCGGAAATACCCGGGAAAGAGGCGGAAATACCCGGGAAAGCGGCGGAAATACCCGGGAAAACGGCGGAAATTTCCTGGCAGAAGGCGGGATTCAAGAACAGTGCCCTTGAAGGGCTTGAACATATATCGCAGCCTCTTTGTGAATGTAATCAATTTAGAAGTAGGATGTCAGATCTTGAGATGTGAAACTATGGCCTTGCAGAACGATATGTGGTCTGCAATCATGGAAGAGACAACCTGGTCGGTGTTAGGCAGTGGTGATGGTTTTTGAATTGCTATGTCGGATTTTACTCGAGGCAAAAGTTCCCCGCTGGCCGCGGAAATTCCTACCTGGCGCGGATTTACCCTAAATCCGCGAATCCTCCCGGGCAAATCGGACTGAGGCAGAAATTTTTGCCCCAGGTGCTTTTAGGTATTGAATCTATCCCATTACCAGCAACAGTGGATGATGATGCTTAGCCAAAAGGCAGTATCTTTTTTGCGTGGAAGTCATCCAAACATCTCCAAACGCCTCGCTCTTCGAAGCCGGGGCCCGTCTTGAAACGGGTCTTCTCATGCGTCTTCGTCATAGCTCTTCTCGCCTCGTCATAGCTCTTCTCGCCCGACAAGATCCTGGGCAGCTCCAGCGAGATGCCCTCGGAGGGCGGCATCTGTTCCTCGGAAGCGCGGAGCGGCGCTGCGAGCGGCGCTCTCCGCAGCGCAGCGGGCGCACGCTAGTGGGAGTTCTGCTACCTGCGCCCAAAGTTTATAAACATGACACTCGTAAAACACATCCCAGTTGTTCACCCTTCAACAATGATTTGGGAGGAACCAAGTGGTCTTCCAAAGGATCTTGAACAAGTAACGTGCAGCCAAGAAGCCTCCCTGGAAATCTGAGGGTGGTCTTGAGGTCGAGTATGGTCTTTCAAAGGTGCATGCTGAAAACAGGTCCCCACATGAAATGACATACTCTCTGGAAGTCAAAGACTTACAAAGCGTACGCTTTGGACTTCGAGGGTACTGGGTCTGAAATGTGCAGGCAATGACTACAGTAATACAATCCAGCCTGTTTTCGCTCCTGATCTGTCTACATGAGGGAAGCCCTTCGTCAACGAAGCTCTTTGGCACATCAACATCTTTGGGAGAAGAGACCATCCCACAATTGCTCAACATTCACCTGGATACTAACTGCATGGGCCTGTCCAAGTGTGCCAATGCTCCCAAAAATCGATGGTTGGCCACCCGAGTACGTGGCCCGGCCAGTGCACTGGACTGCAGAACCGTCAACGCACCCCTGCAGAACCTCCAAGTGAAGTGTGTGCGTACCCTACAGGGGTCACCTTCGGTTGGCCTTCTGCAAAAAAACATGGTCGGTATTTTGAGACATTGACATATAATCATATAGCCATAATCTGTCAGGATCTGTGCCATCCTGCTCCAACCCTGGTCCAACCCCCCCCCTGAAGGCTCAACCCCGGCGTCCACAATGGCATTCTTCTTCGCCCAGCGCAGCGCTTCCGAGCCTTCTCCGTCGCCGCGAGAGCCCGAGCTCTCGAGGCTTTCGCTGCGAGCGGGTTGCTCCTCGCGCGGGCCCACGCGGCCGCGCAGTGTCCGTTTAGTGGGTCGGGTATCTTTGGAGAAGTCACCCCGTACTCAAGACCCATCCGCAGTTCTCGAAGCAATCCTACAAAATGGGCGCCCCGACCCACTAGGCCCACTATAGGCACTCACTCCGATGGCAACGCATGCTTCTCCCAGAGCTCCTCGACCTCTTCGGCGGTGCTTCGCACCGCGTCCTCCACTGGATCCGAGTGGTGCCGTCCGGGGGCCTCTAGCAGCTCGTCCGCCTCCGGTGCTTCCGTGACCTCGCGCAGCACCGGGCCTGGCGACGGAAGAGCCGGAGCCCGGAGCGAAGGTCGCGGACTGAGGAGATCTGAACGGTGTGGTAAGAAGGGAACAGTGTTTTACATGTACAGTAGTAGCTGTGTTTCAATTCATTAGGGGAAGAGGTGTCCTCCCTTTATGACCAGCGAAGCAGCACTTTTCTTGAGGGGTCTTCCCTTGGGTCTTCCCACCATTTTAATTAGCTGGATGAGTTTTTTCAGGGGGTCCAGATTCATCCGATTCCTTGATCGATCCTCCAAGAGCCTTGTTGAACTTTGTCAAGCTTGTTCCATGTTTCTCGAAAATCTGTCCGACCAACAGTGGCAGAAAATTCACCTGTGCTGTCTGTACATCCACTGGAGTAGCAAGTGTTGGTAAAGCCACGATGCTCTTAGAAGATCCAAGAAGCAACACAACCCCCCATAGGAAATTGAACCAACCTGCCAGGGTGTGCCAGATAAAATTTGCCCATGCAATCATGCAGCTTCAAACTGCAAGACTTCAGTCTGGGCTTTATCGCTCGATTCCACCAGATATTGTAATAATATATTACTTCAAGTGCTCCCCACCTGGGCCGCCATGCTCAGCCTGCGCAAATGCCTGCGCGGCGTTGGGCACCGAAACTGAAGAGGTGATGAAGCTGGAGTCAGAAATCACCAGGCAGGTTGCTGCCATGTCTGAAACATTGAACTGGAAAGTCCCTTTCAGAACTGCTCGAGGCCTATGAGGCCTATGAGACCAAGTCACTTGGATTCAAGGTCCAGAAGCCGACGAAAGTGGTCAAATGTGGTCAATAGAGCCCCGGAAAACTTCAAACGGCCAAGTGCTGATTTGAATCTCTGGGCAACTTCTACCAGGTCAGTTTGTTGATTGTGTTTAGCAACAACCTGGCTGCGCTGGCTGGTCGTCCTTCATTCACCCCTTAGCAGTTGAAAGAAATCTAGACTTCCACTGTCCACTAATTATACATGACAATGATGGATGGGAGTTGGCAGGATCTGTGGATTTCTTTAAAACAACACCCTCAACCGGTGCTTCAAACTGTCAGACTGCGGCTCAAAAAACATCTGAAAGAGATCTGCTTGGATTGGATGTTTTTTTTCTGATCCACACGTGGATGTTGCCACAAACCATCTGCACTGGCAGCTCGGCGGCCGCATGGCCATTGCCATGGCCACTGCCATGGCCACTGCACCCCAACAATTCATGCAGACTGTTGATGAATAACACCCCCCGTGAGTAAAACACAAAGCTCTATGGTTGTACCATGCTCAGCCCCCCTTAATTCTCCTTTACTGGCAAGAAATCAGGGCCCGACCCACACCACTGATATTGTCAAATCCTCATATGGAGATATTGGACTTTGTTTACCATCCAGGTAGTGTGGTTTTATTATGTTTTATCTAGTGATGAACGGTCTACATTGAGCACCAAGGTCATATATTATATAACTATATCACATTGCTGTTCACACATTTTCCCTTGATTCCCATGAAATCGCCCGTGTCTGGCCATCTTCCGCCTTGCCCTCTTGGTCTGTGCGCGCAGTATTTTGTGCAGGGCCCGTCCCTTCAGAGACTGCCTGCTGGGACGGGAGAGGACGAAAACGACAGCGCCATCGACACACAAACCACAAAGGATGTCCGAGCGAATGGGAAGAATACGAAGAAGTCAGTTGGGTGCCATAGACCTGTTGGTTGATATTGGTTGCGCACTCCTGGGCTGTATGCCCTCTATGAATCAACCAAGCAATCATCGCAAAAGGGCCATCTATCGCGGTCACCGAGTCACAGGCAGAAGCATGGTGAAGGTCACCAATGGAGCAAAAGCAATGGAATATAATGGGAGGGACGGAGGTCAATGAAATTCAATGAACACCTGGTCCGGTCACCAATGGTTCAATTGGACAATTGGTGACCGGACCATATGGTTTCCCAAAATGTTTCCCAGTTTCCCCCACAACAAGTCTCCACCAAGTCATTCCAGGGGGGCCATGTTCCACTTCCATGATTGTTTCAGCTGAGTGTCGTTTCCTCTTTCGGCAGGACCCTCCGGCCCAGCAAGGAATGTACTGAGTGGCATCTATAGTTGGTCGAGTGCTGTCGGATGGATTTCGATGGTGAAAGAACACCTCTTTGCTCCCTTTACTTGCTGGATAGGTCAAACTCTCGGCTGCCCTTTCTTCCAGATTCGGCGCCTTGAAGGCGCCTTGGAACAAAACACCTTTATATGTATATAACCATTTAACCTTCCAGCGCCGACATTTTCCATCCTCAAGGAGCTTCACAGGCTGGCTAGGCATTGCATGGCCAGCTTCGACCCGTCTCACCCACCTTGTTCAAGCTTTTCGTTCTGCAGGAGCACATGCCAAACCTCAGCCGGCAAACTCAACGAAGCATAGTGTCGACAACAAAGTTCCAACGCTTGTGGGAAAGGTTGAGCCAACGCCAGAACGAGGTCACGGGATTCTGGGGTGATGCGTTTTAGGAAAAGGAGGGCAGTTGTCTCTTGTACATAGACCTCCATCACTTTCTGTGAAAGCCAACATCCTTTGCGCCGACAGTATTCGTCATCTTCCGTCATCTTGAGATGCCAGGTGGCACCCCCGGCCCGGAGCGATCCCGGGTCTAGGGGCTTGAGGCTGTTCTGTTTTTCAACAGGGAGTTTCAATGCTGACAAAACTGATTGAAATCTAGCGTGCAAAGTCTGGCCAGACCAACTCCATAGCTTTGCAGCACTTGACAGCCTGCCAAAAGCTAAATCAACCACTTCAAGTAGGTCTGGGATGTCGATCTTGCCCGCTTGATGCTTGGCCCCTGTTTGTCTGGTTTTGGGCTCTCTTTTATAGCCAATATTCCGAAGAAAATGGTGTGGTCCACGTCACGTGGAAGAAGCAAGTCAGACCGGTGAGCATTGAGCATTGAGAAGTTCACCAGGTCTGAGGAGTGCGCCCCACATCCAACTCAGAGCACCGGCCAGAGGCACCCATCCCCACATCAAACACACTGCATGGCATGGCCACGTGGTGAGCTGTAGGCTCTGCTTGCATCCACTGAAAGGCCAGATCCCAACTACCCTGCATCCATCTTCTCAGGACGGGCTTCTTTGACGTCAAACAGTTGATCGTTTCAGCATATTGGTTATACGGACGACCGGCTCGGTAAAGTGCACAACCAAAAGACGTCATCACAGCGTTTATCTCATCAATGTTTTTTGAGTGATCTCTTAACAGCCCTTCCCAATCAATCCCTTCAGCAGCTACCCAACACATAAATTGAGCCCAGTAGCGTTCACGAAGTTGGTTCGTCCTCTCCATCGTAGGACACCCCTCTGGCAGCTGTGGCCTCAAGGCCCTCAAGGCAGCTCTGCTATAGCATCGGCTGAAGTGGCCGGTTCCATGGCGGCGGTGCGACGCCCCTCCAAAAAGAAAACGGAAGCAGCCAGCACCCAGCAAGGAGCATGGAGGAACAGCGAGAGAAGCGACAGCAAAAGTCCAAAGAGGCGGCAAGGGCCAAACCAAACCCTGAATGAAAGATGACAGTGGCGGAAGGAAGGCCGGGGCCCTCTCCTGGGTGAGAGCTGGAAGTCCCTGAACGGTTCATGAAGGCTGACCATCGATACGCTGAGCGGTCGGCAAGAGAAGTGATGCTTGGACCAAGACAGTAGGAGCAAAATCAACCTGATCCAATTTGAAGCCCATCGCTTCGTCGGTTTCAAGTCCTTGAACTGGTTGCCGAAGAGGGGTGTCTCTGGTAGGATCATCCGCACCATGTACAGGCCAAAAGCGACCATGACGGAGGAGATCCACCGAATCACGGAGGACAAAGCTCTGGATGATGAGCGGCCCTTGCCTAAGGCGCACCTAGTGACATTCGAGTCGACCAAACAAGCCAAACGGGTAGGGCCCTAATTTGCTCTCTTTTCAAGTCTCTCAACTGCTTTCATCTCCAGAAGGTTGATGTGTGAAGGCCGCTTGAATCTCCAGGAGCTGTCTACACTCCAAGCACCTGAGACCATGATCTCATTGACCAACTGGTTTTCAAGGCCCTGCACATTGCAAAACTGATCTGCGTCTTGTTCTCTCTATCTGCAGATGGCCTGGTTGAACACCTCTGCAATTGCGTGGGACAGCTCTGGGGTGTAGATTGCTGAAGCCTTTGTATAGACACCTTGCACTGGGATATGGTTGCGCTTGCCCTGACATCGTCTCATAAGAGGGCACGGGTCAATGTTGATGCCCAAAAATGCAAAAAGACTTCTGGTGAACTGACATGAATCTGTCCTCACTTCAACCAGCTCTGGTAGAGCACGGACTGCTTGGTAGGGCGGAAGGAACTTGGTCTTTGCAGAAAAGGGTCTTTCCAAGAGACCTGATGCCCCATGTGCCCCTGCCTTCCAAAGAAGTTGAAGGCCTCGCAATGCCAGAGTGTTCCCATCCTTTGTCTTATCCTCAGACGGATCAAACCCATAGGGAAAATGACGATCACGGAGAGGAGGTCGCCTCATGATGGCGAAAGTAGTTCTTAGCGCGCCTTTTGTGGAACTTGAAGTTGATGAAGCCTCCAGACCAAAGGGGTCGTTTCCTTGGATCAAATGGGAAACGAGGGCGGTCAGAGCGGCAGACTGCTGTGTCAATGGGTTCGTCTTGTAGGTGAAGAGGTGGCCCTATCACAGGACTTGCACGAGTCCTCGGCGGAGGCCCACTAGCTGCATCGACTTTGCAGGAGTCAGCTTCCCTGGAGCCTGTAGCCCGCTGCACGAGTGACAAAGGAAGGTCTGCAAGTGCCTGGCAGTTTTGGAACCTCGGTTGGTTCCTCCTGCTTGGAGGCGATAAGGGCAACTGAGTGAACCGTCATCTCCTACCTTGCAGGAAGACATCCAATCACTCACTGAGGCCATCATACGGATAGAGAGGCAGAATCAGCGCCTTCCGCTGCGGCTCCCGGGCGTCTGGGAGGAGGTTGGGAGTTGATAGAGGACGGCATCGAGATCCCAGGCGCTCCACCCGTTTTCTCTCGTAGAAAGCCAACCATTGAGTTCGAATCCGGGCCACCTGCGACAGCGAGCTTCTGCATCGAGGCTGCTGGTCGACACCTCTCGTCTTGAGCTGCTAGGGCCTGAACTTGTTCGGCCAGCGATGCATTTGTCACTCTCTTGGCGGGAGGCTTTTTCAAAGCTGGAGGCCAGGACGGTGGCTCGTCTCGAGCACTGTAAAAATGTAGCCTCGCAACACCTTCCTCTTCAGCCCAAGCTCGCGCTGTAGAGACTAACTCCGGGAGAGATGGCAATGCCGTAGGAGCTGCCTCTGAGAAAGAGCTTATGGCCTCAAGCGAGTCGGTAACAGGGTCATACTCCCTCATCAAAGTCATGACATCCTCCGAAAAGTCCACAATCAGGACCTCACTGCGGAATCCAGCTTGGAAAACAATCCCATGCTCATCTTCATCTACCATATCAATCTCTACGCCTTGGACGGTCCAAGAAGATCATCTTCCCCACTTGCCGTGCCTTGAAGGAGCACATCTTCACGAAGAACTCCTATGGGCATTGCCAAAGCACACCACCTCTACGATGGTCAACAGGACATGCAAAGGATTGGAGTTTACCTCCACTTGTGGACAGCTATGCGGGAACATTGATCACCAAAAGCGAGGATCTGCATTCTCTGAGGCACACTTCAATGTGGAGCGGTCCATCGCCACAAAGGTGGGATAGACACAGTAGCTCCTGCACAGAAGATGTGCAGTTCTGTCAGGGATGGCAACTTCTCCACAAAAACGATGTCCTCAAACTCCCTCAACAAGCGATCGCAGTCCCGTTGAGATGTCCACTCCCTTTCCTCAGCACGCAGTGGGTGGCTTGAATTCCAGGCTTGTAGAGGCTTTCACCACGGTCAGTGTTGCAAGCCCAAAAAGCTCTGGCCCAGAATCCTGCCTTGAAGGCTACACGCGCTCTGTCCTCTGGGTGTGCCTTGGAATCATGCAAGTAGCCTCTGAAGTCGGTGCAACTGGAGCACGGGGAGGAAGGACCCCGGGTAATGGAGAAAGGCCAATGCAAGCCAGATGCAGCAGCCCAGGCCCAGAACAAGTCCAAGACAAAGACCGGTGGTCAAAGGGAGTATCAGGGATGGATGGCAGTGAGCAGGGCAAGCAAGGGAGGTCGAGAGCGAGGCCAAAGTCGAGAAGCCCTCGACCACAGCACCCAAGGACCACATCAACCACTTGAGCTTGAACGACGCGGTGCAGCATCATGGTTAGTGGAGCATGTACACACAGTGTTTCAACATCAACATCTGATCTACTGCATGATCCAGATTCATTTTCGTCTAGATGCATTAACAATATACTAACAAAGTAGTGCAAACAGTAGATCTTCTGTCTGGATCGGTCCAGATCGGTCGATCGAGACTCTTCAGACCGACCGGGTCCGCCTGGGTGTCTCGCTGAGTCGACTCGCCGCTGCTGACAGTGCTGACAGCCTCGCTTTCTTCGGTGACTTCGACGGTTTCGCGAGTTGAAACATATTCATGTGTTTTGTTGCTTTTTGGGGGGGGCGGATTCGGGTGGATGAGTGTGGATGAAGGTGGATGTTCTTGTTTGGTTTGAAGATAGACTATAGAAGATCAGAAGATCTAGACCACCCATCCTGTGGCCATGTATAGCATAAGTTTGTATATAGGGCTTGATATGCTTGGCCAAAACGATGGACGAAGATGATACAGGAGCCTTCTGCTGATGGACAGTCTATTTTGGGAATCTGCTGCTCGTCTTCGCTGCTATTCAATGCAAGTGGAGCCTCCATGACTGCAGGTGGTTTAGCAAAGGGTTCATCTGCATGAAAATAAACACCTATCCAAATTCTGGCTCGTCACCGCGCCGGTCCAAAACTTTTTCTTGTCAAACAATCCGGGGGGTCTTCCGTCCAACAATGGAGCACCAGCACCGGCACGACGGAGCCGGGGCCTCTGTAGCTCTTGTTGCGGAGTCAGCACTCTGCTTCGAGCCCGCTCTCTGCTTCGAGCCGGCCCTGGTTTTCGAGCCGGCCCTCTGCTTCGAGTCGGCTCGGGTACCATCCACCTGGGCGTGTTTCTTTTCGGCATACCTGGTCGACACAAGGGCAAGCTGGGCCAATGTATAATAATCTGATAATCAATGGGTGAAACGAACATGTGTCATTATCTCAACTGAGCAGCATGAGAAACATCCAGCTGACAGCCATCATGTCATGCCACCACTGATGAATTTATCCTAGTTCGTCCTAGCTTGTCTTAGAGACAATGAATTGGTGGTAGTCTATTCTTTTTCTTTCACTGACTGAGCTTTGTGAGAGGTTCCTCCATTTCAAGACCCTCAGGTTCGAGGATGATTGTGACAGCCCCAACTTCTCCAGCCACTGTAGCCGTTTCAAAAGGCTCCAACAACAGTGTGACGTCACCTTTGTCTAGTAAGTAAGGGGAGATTTCTTTTTTGCGGCTTCCGTGTGACAACGTACAAATGAACAACGCCGGAAACATACATCAGGTATCAGGTCATCTGGTCACCCACAAGTTCATCGGCAAATCAAGCAAACTGCATCTCCAGCATCCGACACCTCGTGACCGTCTCATGACCGCCTCGCCACAATACAAGTCTTACCGACCTCATTTCACTGGCTTCGGGAACATGCAAGAAACAGTTCCTCCATGAAAACCCGAATACCCTTCATCCTCGAGCAGGTTTTACTTGGTCCACTCAGTCCACTCCACTTGCCTGGTCACCGTCACCGGTGGTCATAAATCAGCGGTGGCCCACCCAATCCCACCCATTACCATCATCTGGTCTCACCTGCAAAGGAGCGTTCTCGGCGGAACCCGGAGCACCCTCTCCTGGCGCCGGGAGCGTCTCAAGAAGCGGCGCCCCGGGTTGATTTGACACGAAGAAGCTAAGAACGGTGCTTTGTGCATGGGTCTGCTCGTGATGAGGTCTTCAGATGCTGCCCAAAAGGTGTATTACATGGAAGGGTAGGGACTAGGGTAGGGTTATTACATCCTAAGGTTTTTGTACAAGGTGCTGGAAAATGTTTTTTGGGCATGATTATAATGGGGCGGGGATGGGCGGGGAGTGGCAAACTCAATTTGAAGCCAAAAAGAAGACTCAAAGAAATTCTAAAGAAGGTCTTGACTGGAATTCAAAACATGATAAAATTAACCAATATGCTTCGTTCAAGGAAGTTGGACCGAATTATGTAAGTAGGTTTAGAATAGGTGCTTTGGTTCCATTATGCGTTGGGGTGGTTGTTGGATTCTGGGGCATGTTGGCCTAGTGAGGAGGATTGATCAAGGAAGGGAAGAACTTGGGGGGGAGATGAGGATGAGGATACCATCGAAGTACCAATTGGCCGGTTAGATGGGAATCACAGGTTGCAGCATTGGCTGACAAAACGAGGGGGGGGTCAGCAAGGCATGTCATGGCATCCTCATGGGAGAGCATGGGATGACAGGATTTGGACTCTATCCCCTTCTCCGTCCTTCATCTTTCACCATGGGAACGAGTCAAGGCCTCCTGTTCTGGCCGGCCACTCCGAGTTGCAAGAATGCTCATGAAACCTCCGAGAGTGAACGGTCCCAGGTGAAGTTCCGTCCATCCCTCCCTTTTCGACCGCTTCCTCCGGTAAATGAGAGACACCCGATCTCTCTGTCCTCTCCGACTTCTACAAAACCCCATCCCTCCATCCATCCATCCATCCATCCATCCACTGAAGACACCGGAACACCTCCCAAAACCCCGGGCATCTCCGGCATCTCCCGGACTCGCTCTCCTGGCGCTGCGGACTCGCTCCGGCGCACGGCCGGCACAGAGCCCTTGGAATGACCTGTGCGGCGGCCGCGCGGCCGGGCGCCGCTCACGCTTTGGGTGCCGGTGCAGCGGAGATCGAGGTGAACAAAGACACGATTTTTTGAGGCGAGTAATGAAAATGACTAAGTGACTCAGTAGTTCTTTCACCATACAAAATGTCTTTTGTGCGAGCGCAAATTGTGCGTTTCACGGGCACACGTGGGAAGATGAGAAACGCTGGTAGTGTCGGCCAATAAGGAGTTCTAGATCTCAACTTATGCAGGAGAACTCTTCAGCAAACTCTTCAGAACCAACATGAACCAACTACAAATACTAGATCTAGAATGACTATAAATGACTATGAATGAATGGTTTTAAACCCCGGAGAAGTCATAGCCGGAGTCTAAAACGATACAATAAGACCCTCCTACCAGCTGGTGCAAGGGGACCTCGAGGGTGGTACACCATGGTACACCCTTGCACTTCTCACCATCCAACGACTTACAGTAAAGCCCTTTTGAAAATCCTGGTGGAGCTTCACTTTTCTCCTTGACCTCACCTGAACATCCTGAGCTCCAAGATGCTTTATCTATCCCAAAGGAAAAAACTCATTCTTCCT